TCTCAACCGAACAATGAGATCTTCAAGGGACATCTCCTTTCGTTTGTGTTTCAAGTAGTTCTTAAAATCCTTCCACAAAGGAGGCAGCTTCTCAATAATTGCTGCAACTTGGAATGCTTCATTGATAACAAGACCTTCAATGAAAATTCCGTTAGTAAAAATACTAAAAATTTTACTTTCAACATCAGTATTCATTTTATATATACCTTCAGCAAGTAGATCATGAATAATCACTTGCAATTTCTGGACTTGGGTAATAACAGACTTGCTATCTACCATTTTGTAGTCCAAAAATTTTGCGGCAACGAATTTCTTCATCCCGGCATCTTCAGGTTTGTATTTTCTTTCAAGCGTAATCCACAGTTCTTTTGACGTCTCCACATTACTGTAGACGTTATACAAATTATCCTCCAGTCCGCTAAGAATATAATTTTTGCATAAAAAGTCAGAATGCTTCCACGCCTCAAGAACGAGAAAGCGTTCATTCTCTGGAGTTTCATCGGGCAGATCAGGAACATCTTCCTTGATGAACTTCGGTAGACATAACCTAGTCAAGTAGAAGAAAATCTTCTGCCGCCAGCGCTTGAAATCAATCCCAGAAAATTTTTTGGGTTTTTCTGCCGGTGTTCGGCTTGTCGATGCGTTGGCAGTCACCATCGGAACAGCTCGGTTTCCGTTGTCATTTGCCATTTTTTGTGTAAAAGAATAACACAAACAAACGGTTAAACTTGGAGTAAAAAAAAATCACGTAGATTTTAATCTCCAACAAACTGCCACGAAGGCTTTAAAACTGGAGTAAAAAATCACGTAGATTTTAATCTTCAACAAAACGCCACGAAGGCTTTAATGTCCAAAACGGAGGTAGACAAAACCACAAAGATTTTAGTCTTTAGAATTGTAAGTATATCACAAATACAGAAATAAAGATTAAATTCCTTATGCTTGTTGGTTGTATCTTCTTACTTGCTGTATTTGTAAATAATAATTCTGGAGAAAATAAAATTAGCGAATAAACGTAAATATAAACGAAACAGTAATTAATTCGAGCCCACTGAATTCACAGTGTCCTTAAGGAATTTAATTCCCTCCTAGTACCCAAGGTTATGGATTATTTTCTCCCAGGATAGAACGAATTACACACTGGTGTAGCGGTTCTTCAAACCCCAGTGTTTCAACGAACACAAAGTTCGGTAGCAAATTACACTTACGGTTACTTTGGTTGTAGTTAAAAACAATGCAGAACAAATGAGGAGAACTCAGAAGTCGAATGGAAATTCCGAGAGGAAGTACTGCAATTTATAGCCAAACGTTGAGTGTAAAATGAAGAGAAGGCAGATTGCTCTTTTTTTTCTGTTCGTTTTTCCAACAAGCTGCTACACATATTTATTGTGCAACCAGCTGATGAAATGTCATTCATTTGCTCATGGTGGAGCATGCACTAGGCTGCTATTGGAGCAATCACTTGCTATTATGGAGCAAACACTTGGCCATGGTGGGAGAAGCACTAGGCTGCTGGAACACTTGGATTCTATCCACAGATTGGAAAACATTCGTTACAAAAACGGATAATATTTACTATTAACAAATAAATTTGGTCCAAAAAATTAATCAATCGATCGTTTGACCGAATCCGAATCCGTAGTCGTAGCCAAGTCGAGCGAGCGACGACGACTACGACGGCGCGAGGCTTACCTTCTTCTTAACTCTTTAAGAGCTACAAGAAGAGCAATTGTATGTATACCCACCAAAATCCCCTCTTCCAATATGGGACAATGTCTCATTGTCAAGGAAGGGAATCTTAAAATTTTACTCAAAAATTTCATTTTCCCTCCATTTCCCATTCACCCTCTTTTTAAGACTTTTTCATCTTAAAAAGAAACTCAACAAACATTGTCAACAAAAATTTTGGTCCTGAGACAATGTTCAGTACCAAGGATAAAACATTAAGGCTTTTTAATGATTTCTAAATTTGATACAGGGTATATCAAATAGTGTATCTACGTGATGACACGTTTAGGAATCACCTATGTAAGTGTGAAGTGTTAGCCGCTTCAAGGAGAATTTTGCAAGGCCAATTCTCTATGCACTAATGAAACCAGGCGGTGTTCATGGCTGAAACGAACACAACAATGAGAACCAAAGACGGTTAAGGGTTGATTGTGTGACTTATGGTTGTCTAGGTATACACTAAAGTTCGACGGTTCAAAGATATCAAATCTACCGATCGACCGAGTATATCCGACATAAGTTCACTACGGAAAGTTCAGAGGGAAACCTACTTATCCAGATGCAATTAATCCTTGCTTGCGAATCACACAAGTTTTTCATGCATACTTCCGTGATATAGCCATTCCCCGTTCATGTGGGGGATTGTTGAATTTCTTTTTAAGATGAAAAAGTCTTAAAAAGAGGGTGAATGAGAAATGGAGGGAAAATGAAATTTTTGAGTAAAATTTTAAGATTCCCTTCCTTGACAACGAGACATTGTCCCATATTGGAAGAGGAAAAGGATTTTGGTGGGTATATATACAATTGCTCTTCTTGTAGCTCTTAAAGAGTTAAGAAGAAGGCTAGCCTGGCGGCGTTGTTGCTCGGCTCGGCTTCGCGGATTCAGATTTGGATTTGGTCAAATGATCGATCGATTGATTAATTTTTGGGACCAAATTTATTTGTTAATGTAAATATTAATGTAATATTATCCGGTTTTGTAACGGATGTTTTCCAATCCGTGGATAAAATCCAAGTGTTCCGGCAGCCTAGTGCTTCTCCCACCATGGCCAAGTGCTTGCTCCATAATAGCAAGTGTTCCAAGTGATTGCTCCAATAGCAGCCTAGTGCATGCTCCACCATGAGCAAATGAATGACATTTCATCAGCTGGTTGCACTATAAATATATGCAGCAGCTTGTTGGAAAAACGCACAGAAAACAGAAACGAGCAATTTGCCTTCTCTTCAGTTTACACTTAATGTTTGGCTATAAATTGCAGTCCTTCCTCTCAGAATTTCCATTCGACTTCTGAGTTCTCCTCCTTTGTTCTGCATTGTTTTTAAACTTCAAAAAACAAAGCAACCGTAAGTGTGATTTGCTACCGAACTTTGTGTTCGCTGAAACACTGGGGTTTGAAGTACCGCTACACCAGTGTGTAATTCGTTCTATCATGGGAGGAAATAATCCATAACCTTGGGTACTAGGAGGGGATTAAATTCCTTAAGGAAATACTGTAAATTCAGTGGACTCGAATTAATTACTGTTTCATTTATATTTACGTTTATACGCTAACTTTTTTTTCTCCAGAATTATTATTTACAAATAAAGCAAGTAAGAAGATACAACCAACACACTTTACCTTAGTATTACGTCTTCATAGTGTTCTTGTTGATATATGATTGTACCTTCGTATTTTTTGTCCCCGAGGACAAGTATGTTCATCTAGGATGATGACTTACATGCTACAAAGAGTTGACAAGTAATGTCACGTATATGGGTAATAATCCACAGACTAAAAAGAATGAAAGGTGAGGTTTAATTAGGGAAAAAAGAAGGGAGAGTGCTCCAGCAACTATTTGGAATATTTTCTTCAATGAAATGCAACTGCTTTTCTTTCAAAACATTTGGAATTCCTATCCTTCCATATTGTCCATATTAAGCAGAGGTTTCAAAAGGAACCTCTTTGTATATGTGTGAGTTTTTTCTGTCGGCTTGTGTATATTTCCATTCTAATTGTCAGTTAGGATATGTATTATCTCTTATGTAGCTCTTAAACTAAATACTTAGATTTTTCTGGAAGCCAGGACCCATCTTGGTTTTGCATAATCAGGGTCCATTCGTCCATGAGCAAATCATTGATGTCTAAAATTTTATGCAAAGTTTCATTTACCAGCAACTTCTTTTTATATTCTCGATCTGATATGTTTTTCGGATCTTTCAGATTCAGTGGGGTAAATCTCACCTTTACAGTGTTTATGGCATCAGATTGGATCATATGGTAAGTATCAGATCTTCATTAGATAAATTATTATGCATGAGACAAAGCTCTGCATGTGTTTGTTATCAAGTTCTGCTCTTTTATGATTCGCAGATCGAGAAATGGTGACTGATTGCTGAAATGCAATTTTATGTTTAAAACAGTGGCAAGCTGTCGTCTTTCCTCTTACATTGACTTCCTTAATGTACGCTGGCACCTTGATCCTCAAGCTGTTATTGTTGCTAGACTCTGGCCAAGAAGATCGGGAAAATGGAAGAAGCTTGTCACTTGACAGTATTAAAAATGTTGTTTGTGAATTTATTGAATCGACCTTTTCACTGGCTTCTGATATTTCAGCATGGCGTAATTATCTTGTGGTCAGTAACTTTAACGTTAAGCTTGTTACCTTCTCTGTTCACTATGTTAATGCAGTTGCCTATCTGATTTTCGTTTCAGGATCAAGATTTATTCTAGTCCTTCTATTTCATGATCGCGAGATCAATAATTATTGTACCCTCAAACTTCTATTCTTACTAGCTTAGTTTTCTTGTAGCTTTTGTACCAAAATTTCCTGCATATTTGGTATATAGATATAGATGCATTTTCGTATATAGTGTGTGGTAACATCAAACTAGAAATATATCGAGTCTTTTGTTTCTTTTTATTTTCGGGGTGGTGGGGGCTAAGTTGCTCGGACTCTTCACTTTTGGTACCGCACCCGTGTCGACACGACGTGAGTGCGGGTGTGGGATCCGTACTGGAGTCAATCGACCTTTGGTACTTTGACCAAAAAGGAAAATTTGGGACATATATAATGATTTCTGAAATCAAAACAAAAGCTAGGTGAAATTAAAGAAAATGGAATACCTTGTATATAGAAATTTCTATGTCAGTCCTTTTCCTTTTGTCTTCTTTTGGGATTCTCCTCTTGATCAATATTTCAGTTATTTCTAAACGAATCGCCGCACCTGTATTCATACTCGGATCCGTACCCCCGAATCTTAAAATTTAGATCATGAAGGATCAGACCTCTAGATCCGCACTCATATTCTGACATCCGCACCCGAGTCCAAGTAACTTAGAGTGGTTGGGGGGGGG